ACCCAAAGGCAGAATTATAACTTTTTCAAAATATTCAACAACTTACCTGATTTGCTCAAATCGAATAACCGTCACCATTTAGAAGAACTAATTCATTTCATAAACGCTTGTAATTTAGAATTATGATTTCACTTATTTCAAAATTTTACTCATTTCATTACTTTTGTTTTGATTCAGTTATTCTTTTTTTGCCATACTTTATGTATTCATGTATTGTGAAATGATAGCAAATAAATGAGTACTTAACATTTTTCAAGTATTCAATAACCAGTCCAGGTGAATGAACACATATGTGTCTCCACCAAAATACTTGACAATGTTATGAAGTACAAAAAAAAAACCATTGCCACAGGTAGCAACAAAAATGTACGAAAAGGTACCTAAAATTTTACTTCAAATGATAATAAATCATAATTATCTAGAAATATTGGCCAATATTTATACCAGTTATTTGCATAAATAATAAGGGAGATCGGGCACCTTTGAACACTTTTTTCTTTTAAGCCCCATAAATTTTTTTATTTTATAATTTTGGATTTCTTATAAGTTTTAACTAATAGGTACATATATAATCTTTAAAATAAATATATATATGACATACTTTAAGTTTGATATACATATTTTATTACTGTTTTAATGGACGAAGTCAAAGTGTTAAAAACTGCCCCCCCCACCCAGGGGGCACCTTTGAACAAAGCTTGGTATTTTTGAACGGCATGGGTTTTTACAGTGTTTATGTTTAAATATATATGTATTGTATTCATATATATCAGAAATGCATTTACTTAATAATGCTTAATAATTCGAAAATTAAATAAAAATTCTGATAAAAATTTATTAAAACATAAAATGACTTAAAAAGAAAACGTATTGTGAAAAATACAGCTAATTTTGTAATCTTATTAGCCCATTTGAAATTTTTGAGAAATCGAAGCCAAAAGTTAAAAACTCCGTTTTTTACTGGAGTTTACTGGGTATGTTCAAATGTGCCCCACCTGTGGTATTTTACGGAAATTTATAATAATTTAATTTTTAGGAAATATATATGAAAGAAAATACATTAGTTATGTTCGAAATGAATGTTGGAATTAAAAAAAAGTGTTTAACCCTTTGAGCCCCGAATTTTTTTTCCGTAATCATAGAACAATTTTCTGTTGACAGATTGAATGCAACTATCCTAGATAGGATATGGACAAATTTTAACATCGCTACATCCTTGCATTCGGGAGATACAGTACATTCTTTCTGAAAAATAAAAGCCCAATATCAAGAAACCCAAATGCAAAATCGACGAAAAAATATTTTTAAATTATTCTCTATATTCTGTTTTACAAGAATCAAAAATAATTCTGACGGTAGAGTTCGTATATTTCAAATACGAAGCGATTTAAATAATTTGGACTATATACACAAATTAGTACTGTACACATTTTTAACCTCTTCTTCATATTTAAAAGCTCATAACTTTACCAAAAATTTGAATTTTTTAGATTTTTCTTGTGATATGTGTCGTCCATAATCAGGCCTTGACGTATGCAATCTAAAGAATATATATCTACTAGCAGTATATTAAATATTAGATCTAAAACATTTTGTTGCCTGTGGGCAACATTGGGCCACAAAGGGTTAACGAAAGAAAAGTATCACTGAATTCTTCCTGTGCCCTTACAACCAAAAAATTAAAAGTTTACAATTGCAGTGCGAAAACATAGTCACTCATGCATGGTACAATTATAAAATGTAACAGCAAATCCCAGCTTATTTGATACCAACGTAATGTCAATATGAATTTCACAAATTATGTTTTTAAAAATCACCCAACAGTAAAATTCGAAACGCATGCAATATGAAATTGTTCTTTATTAAATATGCTCCCGTATTCAATTTACTCAATCTGCCTGCTGGGAAAGTTTGAGGAAGCAAATCTTTCTTCATTGAAAAACTCGCAATTCCCTGCATTTTCATATGTGTTACACATATAAGTGGTAAAAGCTCAATTATAGGAAAGATGTGGAAGCGATAGAAATATAAATTTGATAGATTTTCATTCATGTTTTTCAAATTGTATTTTGATAATTCGAACATATTTAATTTTCAAAATAAATATAATTTGTTTGTTTACATTTTGCTGTCAAATGACGTTGACACTAGCATAATTTACAAAAACAAATTTCCATGTGCTTGTTGTATCGATTGTTGTACAACAACACTTGCTGTTACCTTCTATTATTATACCATGTCACTCATGTAAATTTTTTCGACAACTGAAAAAGCTGGCCCACGTTCAAAGGTGCCCCCTTCTCCCCTATATGTTGTAATTTATGCGTAAATGTATTCACGAATAAAAAATCGTACCTTTTGTGAACAAAAAGTATGCTTGTTACAAAATTAAAAATAGCGCAACTCTAATTACTCTCAATTTATCAATGAGAGAGAGAGAAAAACTCTCATCACCAATCCCAATAAGTGTAAAACCCTGCTTACTGAACTTTTAAGTTATCAAATAACATTCAGTAAAAATTTGTACAAATTATTGTGATATCAAACAAGCCTATGATGTTTAAAAATATATACTTACGTTTTCTTCATCCATTTTATTGTTTAATGCAAGGTGTATTTAATAAGGTGTATGCATCAGCTACAACAACGAACATTTTACAAAAACCAACATTGTTGTTATAGAAATTAAATAGTCATGCTGACAATTAGTTTATGTTGTGAAGAAACAAAAACAAATAAAAAATTTTGACAAAAGTTGTACAATTAAAGAAAAATTACATCGAAAATAGAAAATAAATGCCCTTACAAATGTCCATACTGGTCGGAAACGCTATTATATTTATATTGCCGCCGATTTCCTGATAACAACCATATATTGCCGCCGATTTCCTGATAACAACCATACATATTTTCAAGAAAGTCCGTACTACCCGAAAATCGGCTTCCAAAGCTGCCCTTCCAAATATATAATTGAGGTGATTGTCCGGATCTTGGGGACAACTTCAATGGGAACTTACCCATCTAATTTAATACACCTTGGTTTAATGATACAAAATAAAATTCACAAAACAGGTGTTTAAATATCATTTGATATTACAAGAAAATTCTTACTGGGAAAATTTTCCTTGTAAGAATTTGCAAATACCCAGTAACACTGTTTGTCATTCAAATCTGCTCTTTCAATTCACGCTCTTTTACCGAACTTTTGGGTTCCAGTAGTTTTTAATAGTAAATATAGTAAAAGAGAAACATTTCAAAATCGGTCCCAGAGTACAAAATAGGTGTGTCTGGTTACTTTCCCTGCAGGAATTGTCCAGTAACTTCTTTCTGAGAGAGTAAGGTAGTTTTATTCTCTTTTGCAAGAAAAATGCGAAAAGTAAACAGACGGCATCCCTGCAGAAGCTTGCAACTAATCAGCTGATTTGTCAAAACAAACCAATTTGTCCGCCATTATGAAGAATTAAAAGAAAGAAAACACAACCAGTTTAACAAGTTTTTGAGCTATATTTTGTACCATTCCTACTTTTCACACAGAAATGTAAAAAAATAAGTTGGAAACCATCATAACTACCTTTCTGCATATCCAAATCCATATTTGGGCTTAATAATTTACTGCCACTGGCTACAGAGACACACTGATCTTCTTCCGTCATTTTTCTAAAAATGCTGGAAATAGTCTTTTATTTTCCTATTACATATTAATACTTACGTTTTTCTCGTTTTGTAAAGTTTTTCTCCAAAAACAATTAGTCTTGCTAATTCCAAAAAAAATTATTTTCAAATTGAAAGCACAAAAATAAATAAACAAACAATAGAAAACATCTGATTGAATGTCGATGTATGAGAAGAAGAAGAGTTGCAAGAGATTGCAAGAAGAAATTTTTCCAGCAAGAATTTGCAAACTCTCACTGAAAGAACTGTCAAAATTTCTCTCTCCAACCGCTCTCTTTTGCAGAACTTTTGGGTTAACAGACGACTTCCAGTAACAATTTGTAACAATTGTTACAAACTTTAGGGTAACCAGACACACCTAATAATTTGAAAATTAGATGGCAATACTTCAACATCAATACTCAGCCAATCAGAAGTTGGCATCCGGTAAAGTTCTGGAACGGAACTAGTTTGTACAAATTATTGAGTAAACGCATGGTATAATAATAGAAGGTAACAGCAAGTGTTGTTGTACAACAAACGATACAACAACTACATGGAAATTTGTTTTTGTAAGTTATACTAGTGTCAACGTCATTTGACAGAAAAATGTAAACAAACAAATAAATTATATTTATTTTGAAAATGAAATATTTTCGAATCCTCAAAATAAAATTTAAAAAACATGAATGAAAATCTATCAAATTTATATTTCTATCGCTTCCACGTCTTTCCTATAATTGAACAATTGCCACTTATATGTGTAACACATATGAAAATGCAGGGAATTGCGAGTTATTCAATGAAGAAAGATTTGCTTTCTCAAACTTTCCCAGCAGACAGATTGAGTAAATTGAATACGGGAGCATATTTAATAAAGGACAATTTCAAATTGTATGCGTTCCCAATTTTCCTATTGGGTGATTTTTAAAAACATAATTTGTCAAATTCATATTGACACTAGTATTACGTTGGAATCAAATCAGCTGGGATTTGCTGTTACCTTTTATAATTGTACCATGGAGTAAACGAACGAACCTCTTGCCAAGGCAGATTTAATAAGGTAGAAGCATCAGCCCAGCTGATGGTATAAATAAGTGTCAAAAATGTTTTGTAATTTAAAAAAATAAATAAATAAAAAAACAGAATTATAAATGAAAATCTCACAATTTTGAAGAGATTGTTCGGCAATACATTAATAGCATTTTCTAAATGACTTTGTGTAAAAATATCTTATGAATCGATTTGTTTTTGCAAACTATTTTTGCAACAGTTGTTTGTTGTAGAATTCGCCTATGCGGCTACCTTACTGAATACACCATGGTTCTTGCTAAATAACGAAAAGTGCAATGGAAAGCAAATATTTTGTTGACGATTATGAACATGTTAATACCGAAGTGGAGTACGTATTGGAAAATGTTTTAAGTGAAGAAACATTATTAAATCCATGTCCAGAATCAACAGAGTTGGCAGCATTATTTAATACAATTTTATTAAATAAATGCCCGTGTGAGAAATGTAACAAATTATGTACGCACGGAGGATCGTATCAGCTGGATGCGGAATCGAATGAACTAGTGATTGCAGAAGACAATTCCAGCGATTTAATATACGAGTGTTCATCCCTATGTTCCTGCAAGGTAGAAAGATGTCACAACAGATTGGTACAATATGGCCCAAGGAAGTATTTGAAAATAATATTTTCCAAAAAGTTTCAATCTTATGGTATCATAACTACTAGGGATATACCTATGGGAGCATTTATTTGTGAATATGCCGGTGAACTCCTAACAAAAAATGAAGCGGTTATTCGGATACGGAATAATAATAGAAAGCGTCAAATGAATTATGTACTCTGCTTGAAGGAACATTTAAAATGTCAACATGGCACAGAAAGCAACAAGGGGCATATAACAATTGTAGATCCGTCCAAAAAAGGCAATATTGGACGTTATTTAAATCACAGTTGCAGTCCCAATTGTCAGATTTTCAGCGTACGCATAGACTCACCAATACCAAAAATAGGTAAATAATGTATGTAAGATCCGAATTATGGTACTATAGAGCAGCAGTATCCAAAATATATCTCATTAGCTTTCGATGTGTGTGTTCAAAGCTGCAATTCATTTCCTTTTGGTTTCGTACACTGGAATAAAAATTATGATATTTTCTGCAAAATTGTTTCGGCCCAGGCCAATATCGTCACCATAAATGCAAACGGACGTAACTACAGGAAATTTCGAAATTGCCTTTTTGTTGTATTATGGTTTGTTTGGCTTAACTCTAGTTTAGTAAAAAGGATCAGATTTCCTGAAATTTTTTCCATAGGTATGTATTTTTATCCTAATTATGGGGATTTCTTTTTTTTCTTGGGGGACGTACCCGGTTATTTGACCCGGAAGTTCGGGTACGCGTACCCGGTTATATCCGGTTCTTCGGATCCGGTTAATATAATATATAATTTAAAAGGTTATAAAAATATCTTTCCATTGAGTGGTAATATGATGGGGTTATGTCAAACCATTTTGGAGATATAGTAAAAACAGGGTTTTGGTCCCCGATTTTTTGGGCCTTAGAACCCTACAAAAACAAGGAAATTCTGTCGCGTAGCCGGTGTTGGCATCTGTCCATAGGAGAAAGTCTTAAATACCCGGCCGAAGGCCGGCTAAAAAAAATTCTATTTAGAAGATATTTCTGTCGCGTAGCCGGTGTTGGTATCTGTCCATAGTAGAAAGTCGTAAATCCCCGGCCGAAGGCCGGTCACCCAAAAAAACACCATGCTATTTTAAAGGAGATTCTTTCTACATGATTTTCCTTGTTTTTACAGGGTTCTAAGGCCCATATCTTTTGATCCACAACAGATACAGCCACATATCGCACAGACTCAAATGGAGATGGACAATAATGGACCCACTTTTAGGGAGTTTTTCAAAAATATCGGTGACCAAAACCCAGTTTTTTGACTATATCATCACATTACCACTCAATGGTTTTTTATAATCTTTAAAATGATACCCATTTTATATTAACCGTATCCGTAGAACCGGGTACCCGTACTTCCGGGTCAAAGAACCGGGTACGTCCCCCAAGAAAAAAACATCCCCATAATTAGGGTAAAAATACTACCTCTGGAAAAATTTCAGAAAAATCTAATCGTTTTTACTAAACTATAGTTGTTCCCTTTTTGATTCTATGACTTTCCCAAACAACCTTCATTTCTATAGTAGTAAATTGTTGAAATAAATTGGAATGTATAGAAAATCCACATGCTGTAGTTGGATGGATGATTATTAAATTTGTAATTGTTCATTAACTCTAGTGATAGATGATGATAAACCAGATTGGGGAGCGAACAAATTCACCGATAATTGATGTCCAGAATGACGCTGTATAACTTTTTTATTATATTCTTTTATTCGAATTTTTGCATATAAGGGCTCTCTTGCGAGTCAAGCTTATTTTTTCATTTAGATGTAGAGATCTTGGTAATACATATTTACATTTGTTAATTTTAATTTCTTTTAGCTATATTTTCTAAACGTTTCATAAAATCTGGAGAAGAACTTTTTTTCCATTACAATGAAGGAAGTAAGAATACTTCATCATCCCGTTCAGAAGAAGATACTCCATGCCTCTGTAAATCTGAGAATTGTGCTGGATTTTTGCCGAATATGGAAATATAACGGAGTACAATAATATCGAATAATTAGTTATTACTGTTATATTATTACTAGCATTTCAAAATAGATATTTATTCCATACCTCTATGTACAACACAAAAAATGTAAACCCTTCATTATTTAAATGCAGTGGTGGCCATAGCATATTTAATAAAATTTATTACATGGAAATATGTTGTAATTTTTACGTGTATTTAAAACATATGTCAGCTTTTGATTTTTTATGTGTTTTAATTTGAGAGTTGAAAAGTGATTTTAATAATTTTTAATAAAAAAATACTGTTACTAACTGTCAATGGGTGGTTTGATTGGGTCAGCGATTCTTAGATCTGTTAATTGCGATCCTCGTGTGGGTAAGTTCTATGCACGTTTATATATCGCATCAGATGCGTTTCTTGAGTCGCTAATTGTTGTCGGTGTTTCGTTAGATTCCCCTCGGTGGGTAAAAACGACCACTCTCATCGTTTGAGCCACAGCAATATTCCTGGGGTTACTTGGCCGGAATCCGGCTCATCATCACTTAAGGTCATGAGTTTCTTTTGATCAAGAGGAACCTCAAATTCATCCGGAAGTTCTCCCAGGAACTATCCGAATGATATTGAGAGGAACTTCTTAATTGAAAGGATTGACCTATCTCTAAGGTGACTTGTTTGAGAGACAAAAAATACACGATTTTGACCGCTTCCACGGGCAAAAAGTTAAGAAGGTGTACATATTCTACCAAAAAAAAAAAAAAGAACATAATTTAACGCTTCTTTAAAATTTCAGTAATTGTGATATGGCGACAGTCAGGCTAGACAGAGGTAACTCGAGACCCCTGGTAGTCTCTGTCGTCTATCTCCCATACGAGGCTCCTGATCCGCCCGGTGTTGGTGTACGTCACCTAATGGAGGTTGTGACGCTAACGCACATCACTTCCACTGGGGAAGCAGCAACATTAATACGAGAGGTGAGTTCATTTTTGCACAGGTAACCCCTCACTTCTAACGGAAATGCTGAAAAGCGGAATACTGGAAAGCAGAATTATCACCTCATCCTTAGGAGATAGTTTCGTGAGGAAATCTCGCAACAGAGGCACACCACAGGGTGCTTTAACGACATCAGAGTAGATTTTCCTAGTAGGGAATCCTGGACTGGCTCCTTACCTCTGCCAGGTCTGTCATTTTCCACAGACGGGTCAAAGATGGAGGCGTTTACAGTATGGAATTAGAAATCATATAAACTTAACAAGCAGAAATCCTTATAATCACGAAAGCGGCCGAGATAGTCAAAACACTTACTGCCGATAATACAGGACCGGTGATTATGTATGTCAATAGTCAGGCGGCCCTCAAGGCTTTAAGGTCGTGCACTATAAACAGTTCTTGATTGCGAGGCTGCTCTGCATGATATACGACGGATAGTTAATTTATATTGGGTTCCAGAACATAGCAATATAGAAGGGAATGAGATGACCGACGAGCCCATTAGGTATTTCATTGACAGAATCCGTTTGATCTACGGCGAGGTAGTCGGCAACAGATGGTCAAGAGAACCTGGTTGCAGAATCTCAAAAGCTATTTGGCCTGAATTCTCTCGCCGAAGAACTTTTTCGCTGTTGTCACATAATAAGAGAGAGATCAAAATCATTGTGGGGATCGTAACAGGTTACTGCATGATTAGATCCCTCACTTCGAAACGGGACTCCAACGGAGAGGATTACTGTCGCCTATGTGAGGAGGGAGAGGAGCTAGAAACAATTGAACATGCTAGGTTTTGTCAAAAGTCTAATATGGCTCAAATAACCATCTTCTAGGCTTCCCAGCTATTTCTTCCTCTCTTCCATTCTCTCTGCTTTTCGCCTTTTCTTTTCAGGTATCAAGGATACGACGTTTACGTAATACTCCTGGAATAGGGAATACATTTTATATCTGATTCACCGAGAACTATAGTCGTAATATTTGGTATTTTTAATACGGTAAAAATAAATAAATAAAATGTAAGCCAACTTCTTTTCATCTATCGGTAGGACTTAAAGACTACTTTATGTTGGTCGCTAACCGAGCAGTTATCGGCAGTGGTCGGTAATTTTGTGTTTAAAGAGTTACAGAATAACACCACTAGTTGATTATTAAAAATCTCTTCGCTACAAATATGAATAAAGTCAATCGGATTTCGGATAATTTATTTCACTTTTTAAATAGTTATAGGTAGATTTTAAATAGACGTTAAAAATAAATTAAAATATAAACAGTGCCAAGGATTTCTCTAATTGGATTCGACTTTGTCTACAACATTGTATTTTTTACATGTTCTGACAAAAAGGACAGTTTAGTGGCGAATGTCTTTCCTCATTAGCGTATGAGTTATACAAATCTTCTGCAGTTTTCTTACCTTTGTATTCATCTACCATTGAGCCGTTAACAATAATTCTGTCTGTCAACTCGATATTTGGTAACAATTGTTACCAAATGTTACTAAATGTTGTCTGTTTACACAAAAATCCAGTAATAGAGAGTCAAGTGAGAGAGCAAGTTTGACAGTTGAACAACAACAAAGTTGCTGGAGTTTACTGAAAGAATTTTATTCAGTAAGATTTTGCAACTCAGTCATTTTCTGATCAGCTGTTTTCTGACCAAACACAAAAATTATTTAAAAAAATTTTTTTTTAATTTGCAAAGTTCAATTTGAAGTTAATTACAGAAAATAGAAGAAAATTCGTAAGTAATGCAAAGTTTCATTAAATTAGAAACTAATTCCTTATATATTTTTAGGCAAGTTCCAGATAGAGGGCAATATATTGATGCAGGGAGCTTAAATGTTCCCGGGGAACATAACAGATCAATTTTTCTTTTATTATTCATTTTTTTTTAATATTAATTGCAATACAAATAATTGTGTTCGTCCTTTGTTTGTTGTTTATTTTGGCGCAAATCAAATGTTTTCTTGAATCAGCTGTTTATTTGCTAAATCTTACTAAATGTTGTCTGTTTACTTTTTTCAGTATTAGGTTCGTTCGTTTACTTTCCCAGTAATATTTACTCAGTAAGAATTTGCAGAGAGTAAATACGATTTTTTCCTTCTCAAGAGAGAAAACTGCAAAAAGTAAACGAACAACATCCAGTAAAAAGATGGTTTCGACACAGCTGATTAAAACAACAAACAAATTGGCGCAAACTAAAAAACAGCATTTTTATTAGAAAAATGGATAACAAGCGGAAAATTGATGTTGTTTGTTCCCCACAAACATTTAAAAGGATTGAGACCGGTAAGTTTTAACTATTTATTTGGAAATACATATATTGATGTTGATTGATGTTTACAGACATGTTAGGGATGCACACTTTTTTGTTTGGATTTGGAACCTAAAAAAT